AAGACAGGAGATAGGAGATAATTAGGTTTATTCCTTAATTAACATGTTGGAACTGAACTTGCTTAAATTTACACGAACCCACTTGAATTTGAACTTTCGGTATATGAATGGCAGTACTCAGGACAGATTGGCTACGGAATCCCGGACTGGTATTGGTTTACAGAACCAAAATTTAAGGTTCAATTCTGACTTCACTGTGAGCTGCAGTAAACGTTTTACAACCCTACTAAACCAGCATAAATCTCTCTGAAATACTTTAATTTATGTTCACGAAATAATAAAATTAAAATATAAAGTACAAAATAGCAACTGTTAAATCTTCTCGGTGTAAAAAATAAAAATTATCAACCAAAATTGGCATGTAATGAAGTCAATAATCTCATAAATCAACACATCGACAATGGCCTAACTTTAACTCAGTTACTAAAATAATGGTTGGAATAGGGGAGTGCTCCTATTCAACTAAATCTATTCATATTCAAACTTAAAATGAAGCTACAAATGTAATTCGTGCAATGCATAAACTAGCGAAAACAGATTTTGAATAGATTTCCACAATATACATGTCGTAGTCTTTTAGTGAAATCCATTTCACAATTTTGGCACTGAATATTCAATATTTGTTTATTCACAAAAACGACTTCTGGCAGCCTCCAACGACCTACCCTAAAAAAAAAGTGTTGAAAATGAGGGTTACGTACTGATAATACCCGACTCAGGATTTTGGCTAAAATGATTCCGCGTCCCGTCAGGTTTTTGCTTCCGCCATATTCTCCTTTTTCGACTTCAAATTATCTACCTACGATCTTTCTTTCCCACACACTCCAATTTGAGACGAGTTTAAAATATCCAATCAGACTTAAATTCTACAGGCTGAAACCAAACCGCCACTATTGGTTACATTCAAAAGTATCCGCTACCATTGTAAGAAAAACAATGAGGTCCATTCGATTAATATGGTCCGTCCATAATTCAAAATTTATTATTGGGCTTATCGTGGCAGGGACAGGATTATTACTATGCATTAGTATACAATCAACGCAAAATGACAGAATGTGATTATATTTTTAGTTTACAAGTGTTTGAATTAGTCACGTAGGGAAAATGGGCGTGGGGCCCAGTTTAAGATCGGTATGTGTCTAAGGCAGATTCGCATTACTTGAGACGACTAAAAACTTAGAAACCACCCTGCTAATTCGTTGTAGTCTATGACAATCCTACCTTTCACTAAATTACAGAAACTATAATATATTCCAAAAATCATAATGAACTCAATTTAATTAATGAATTTTAAATGAATAGAAATTACCTTGAAGTACTCCTATGCTGAATTTAAACTTAATATACTTAACGAATGCTCTAGGACCGAGATTTCTATCACCGCTTTCTTTACAAGTTAAAATACCAATTTATTTAGGTAACCTATAAACATTATGAGAATTTTAGGGCCTAGAAACCGTGTAACGGCAATACTGTTTGCTTAGAAAAACTACCTTATATTAAAATGCCTTAAATCGGAGTAAGAATTTTAAAACTGGATACTTATGAATTACTTAGTTGACCGACGTCATTACCTACACACTCCTTTTTTAATTTGTACTATCATACTAGGAAGGGGCATGAGAAAGGGAGAATGGGACAGTGTCGTGAAAAATCTCACCAACAGATCGCGCCTTTATATCTACTCACTGAACTTCGCCTCTAAATATTTTTAAATCACAAAGAACTCACTTTACTGCAATAAAGAAACTATTTGTAATGCAACGACAATTGTAATTTAGGTGTGACAGTGAATACCAAACAATAACGTACGTTAACCATAAAACAAATTAGATGTTTGCGTAAGGGAAGAATAAACTGTTACAACCTTATCCTACGCTCTTTTGGTGAGCGTGCTTTCATCGAAGGGACTGCACCGCAGTGAGCCCTCAGATGTTTCTGTGTTCCTAGAAGCTGCGCGTACCCATTAAATAAAATGGTATTTAAAGGATCCACCACTTTCACCATAAAATAATCTCCTTCTTTAAGAATTCTCCCAGTAAACCGCCAGTCACAATCAGCTTCAACAGAACGCGCTCCGAGTCACCCATTACGTAGAGAGACGCGCATATCTTCTTATTGGAACCACATGTGCATTAATGAAATTTTGCCTAACAATAAAACGTCTTATCGCAAAAGACCAGATACAACCTTTTATAATTACACAAATTGGACCAGATGTGACTTACTTATATCACCTTATCTAAATTGAATAATTTACAAAAGCGATAAAATTAAAACGAATTTTTCACAAATTTCTAAAAGGAAGAACAAATACATAAATACAAACTCAAACGAAACGATCACACTTCTTGTTTACTCGTATATACCCACCAGATTTAGGTACTTAAAAAATTGAAATATTTCACATACAGGGTGGCCCAACATTATTGATGGTGCTGAAGCCAAAACAACGTCTACATGACGTAGTTTACACAACAGTGTATTTTAGAATATATTCCAAATGAATTGGTTCCAATGTGATCATATCTTTATTTATTTATTTATTTCATTTTATTTTGCCTTTATTTTTGAGTGGGCGGGGTTTCAGCCAAGCATTATGTGGGTCACTCTGTATTTGAGCGAAAGCCTGTTGAGGGCCCAGAACAAGAGAGTAACAATAAATAAATAAATAAATAATAAAAAATAAATGATAAATGATAAACGATAAACGATAAATGATAAAATCAGTAATGATTAATGTTAAATGTTAAATGATAAATAACAAATAAATAAACAAATAACATTACTGATTTTTATGCGTTCGACGTAAAACCCGTTTCCTCAGTTGTCAGACCGTATTTAATATTTACCCAAGTAACATGTATAAAATTCAGCTATAATACTTATAACCCAAGTACAGTAATAGTACGTTGGGTACGCCAACAAAAACTGCACTTTTTGATTGGAATATGCCACTTTCTGTGGTAATAGTTAATACCAAAAGGCAACTTTTGAGATAGGGAGCCACTCGAAAATCCGTGCAGGAAACCAAAATGGTGGCTATCAAAATGGCGCCATTAGCCGCAATATATTTTTTTGTATCTCTGCTCCTAATAGTCCGATTTTAATTTTCTTTTTTTTTTATTGAAAGCTCTTGTGACGAGGAAACTTTTTTGCTATATAACATTTATCTCTAAAACTTAAGGATTTAGCACAATTTTAAAAAAGTGTTTTTTTTTCACGAATTTGAATCACAAGTAAGCTCAACCCGATTTTTATGTGTAACTTGTCCATGTGAAATGTTAATATTTTGTATTATTCAGCACAATTTTCTGACTCTTAAGGTCTGATGATGAATCGGTCTATACGATTCGAAGTCGATTAGCTAAAGAAATATTAAAATTCAATTATTTGAAAAACGAGTTTTATTGTATCAATTTGTATCGACAAATTCACTACGTCAAGAAAATAGTGGTTGCTATTTAAAAACAGTACGCCCCCTTTGACCGTGCAGAAGTATGCTACTGGCCCCAAATTGAATGTACGTGGATTGGTAGCAACCTTTTTATAATTATGGATGTCATAAAAAGCTTTTTTAAAAAATGTTTTGAAGATAAAATTTTCACCCTGTATAAAAAGCATATCCGGAAAACGGTTAGCCTCGCGGTTAGCATTACGAAAAAAAAACCAATAAGACCTACAAAAATAATTCTTTTGTTAAGGGATACCCGGGGATACCTATAAAAAATATCAAAATGTATAGGCTGCCCTCGAGAACACCCTATATACCTAAAAATACGTTTTAGGCTTCCCCTCAGGCTTCTCGTACCAACAAACTGTTACCACTAATCTCAACCATTGAGGCTCTATCGTCCGCTTACAGAAGGTGGATTCTCTGTATAATAAAAATGATTCAACTTATATGAATAGGTATCTAAAACTTGGAAATCATAATATTCCGTTAATATTCTTAAAGAAAGCCCGAGAGAAAACCCTCGAAAAAACCCATGATCTGATAAATAAGCACTCCAAATTTCACATTCGTCGCAGCTTAAACCAAATAGTTAAATAAAATAGGATAAGTAAGAGCGAGAGTAAGAGTTAAAGCTGATATACTGAGTGTTTCTTTAATTACTTTAAAAGCAGAGTGTATTTTCTGTTTTTCAGAGAAAAAAATTGACGAGGCTTTTCCTTTCAATTTTCATAATGCTTTTGATCTCGTGCCAGATGAAACAAATATTGCGCATTTTTTCAAAAAAAAAACATGGCGGATTGAAATTTTCCGAACTTGCAGGGTAGATACAAGGAGTTTTGGGGTTGTATCGATTTAATTTCTAAACGATGGCCTTTTTTGTCGAAAAGACCGGGATATTGCACAATTACTTACTTCAAATTCGTAAACAAAACACTTTTTTAAAATTGTGCTAAATCCTTAAGTTTTAGAGAAAAATGTTATATAGCAAAAAGTTTCCTCGTCACAAGAGCTTTCAATCAAAAAAAAGAAAATTAAAATCGAACTATTAGGAGCAGAGATACAAAAAAATATATTGCGTCTAATGGCACCATTTTGACGGCCACCATTTTGGTTTCCTGCACGGATTTTCGAGTGGCTCCCTATCTCAAAAGTTGCCTTTTGGTATTAACTATTACCACAGAAAGTGGCATATTCCAATCAAAAAGTGCAGTATTTTCCCCATTCTAGCCATGTAAATAGTTTCTTGAAGTTTAAGGATGCACGGCAAGGGGATGCTTCGATATAGTGTCTCTGTGATTTTTTATATTCTTCCGAAGAAAGATATAAGTACGAAAATTACGCTTTATATAATTTGGTGTAATTAATAACCCATCGTACCTACCTGTGTTGGAAGCATGCACTGAGAAAATTTCATTTTTTATAAAATAATGAAAGTCTAGCAGTCACGGGCTCTTACACTAGTTTGTTTAATGGCACAATGTATAATCTCTTGTAGTTGTAGATTAAAGACCGGACAATTTATTACTGGTGTTGTCTTTTTCAGCAATGTCGGTGGATGGCAGCAGACCGACGACTCCTCCACAGTTTGACGTCACGCGAAAAGCGAGCAATTTTAGCGACTATGGGCATGACAATCCCACGTTTGAATCGCCCGCAAGAAGTAGAAAAGTATCTACAAACTCGGAGCACGCGGAAATAGGTCCGGTCAGAAAAAAGAGCATACTTCATCTTGCACAGAATAGTACCGTAGAAAATGTTAATCAAGTTGCGCCAGGTAGTACCCATTTTGTCATTTATTTATTGTCACTAACACGTTGGCACTTCCCTTCTTTTAAATTAGTTTCGGTAATATGCCGGTTAATTGCTTCGTGGTCACTGTCTCTCGAAGCTAATTAGAAAACACGTGCAGTATGCGCGACAGATTATGCTGTATTGAAACTTTTTTCCCACGAAATACCGACTAATTGGGCGTTTATTAAATAACCACACTCCTCCGTTTACCTCAAAAATGTACCATAATATGAACCTTCAAGTCGTATGTAGCCTTTTGTTGAGTGTTGGTCGCCAATTTTCTATTTAGAAGTTTTAGAGCACTATCAGGTAAACATGTTACGCATTTATACCCTTAGCGACACGTCATTTGTAACTAACTTTTACGTAGGGATGCGAGTAAGGTGCCCATTAATCTCAAACATATTCCGTCGAAATGCGGGCAGTATGGGTAAGAATTCTATTTTATTGCACGATTTTGTGCGCCTAGTTACTTTAGTAATCAAATACCCCTTCTCTAATAAACGACAAGTTTTTTTTTTAAAATAATTCCAGTTGTAATCAGTAATTTGTTGTCAATATTATATCTACCTATTCAATGAATTATTTCCGAGACTGAAGCTAATTAAATTAATTAGCTAATTGTATGCAGATTCATTTTCCTTTTCTATAACGATACGAAAATAATTTGCATTATTGTGGGCTATAATTTTACCTTAGTTATTGTAATAGCAGGTATTTCCATTCGAATCATTACCTCTCCTACAAGAGAAAATTCGTACCTGGATTACCAATTATACACAAAAATTATGCGGCTTCAAGGACCATCCACCATTAGTTGAGGTTACCCATCTAATTGGGTATTGTCAAAATTTGGTTATTTTTATTTAATATATGATCTATGCGTAGGTAATACTCTAATGTTAGCGATTGAATAAGTAAGTAATTATAGTTTCCCTAAGATTCATTGTTCCTCTCAAGCTCCCCTTAAAGTTGCACTACAATTTCTTCTTAAAATTCCTTTTTCTACGAAAGTGTGGAAACACGATTGTTTTTGTAGGTAAATTGATTGTGAAAACAGGTCTTTGAAACACTAGTGCGGCAATAGTATATTAAAGTACAAGTGTCATTTGACGAAGATTGTCGCACGAGGTAGTTTGCCGCCGCGTAGCGGCGAATGCGGCAAAAGCCGAGTGCGACAAGTAGACAAATGACACGTGTGCTTTATGCTATTTTTTCTATTTCGACTTTTATTTTAAATAATAAATTATACAAATTATAAATATTGCCTTTAGGCGTTGTTAGGTAATTTTAAACTATCATTCAGTGTATGTTGGTAATAGACACAATTCATTTATTTTCACGTTGGCTAACCTGATTTCTGTATTTTCAAACTTCAAACTTTTAATTATTTGGTCATAATTCCATTTTGCGGCAGTTATGATAAATACGGATGACAAACACGTCTCTTGTACCCCACCAGAGATCCAAGAGATTGCCAATGAAGCGACGTTAAATTTACTGCCTGTAAAATCGAAAGTAAAGTACGAGGAGTACAAAATTTTTGAAAACTGGCTGGCCGAGAAGGGGAGTTCAAAAAGTAAGCAAGAATGTACTGCTGGCATATTTTACTACGCTAAGTAAAAATAAAAAAAGTTCTACCCTTTGGAGTATATATTCAAAATTAATCGGAATTAATACAATCGGTCAAGTTCCTTGTACGTTATTTACACTTTACAGGTTATGTTTAGTTTTGATTTGACGGATACCGTTGACAGCAAAAAAGCGAGGGGTACCAATCCAACAAAATAAAAAAAATAATGCGTTTCTATTTCTTTCGGCATTATTTCTGTCTAGAAACGCACGCAAACTGGACCAATCAAGTAAGGTTTCGGTATTGTTTCCACATCGAAATAGAAATAGTTATTTACATATGAGTATGGTAAATCAAGGTTTACGTTAACGAGTGAGATGTTTACTGCCGAAGCGTAGCTGAGGCAGGAATTTCGAAACGAGTAACGTAAACTGATTTGACATACAAATAATGTAAAACATTTTATTTCATACTGCTCTATTTCTATTAAAATACCATTTTGATTAGAATGTTGTAGGTACACATTAAAATAAAAGCAAAAGCCGATCACTTGATTTGTTTGATCTGACAGTAGTTTGACAAATATCAATCCATACGTTTAGATGGATGTCAGTTGCGGTTGCTAGGCAAAATTTCCAGTCTGGTAAAAATTTTCAGTCTGGTAAAATACGATTTACCAGACTCAAATCAGTCTGGGAAAGCGGCGATTACTAGATAGTATGAAATAAAAAATATTTTCTGCACGCATTTTCTACACGCTAGTAAACATATGCGAAGTAACTCTTTGTAATTGTTTTGCTTTATTCACAGTTTCGTTATATAAGACAATGGTAGAATTTTCTTTGCCTTCTGCTACAGAAAACGTTCTTGGGACATGATTCTTGGAGTCAGGAATCGTTAGGTATCAATAAAATTGCATCTTGTTCTGTGAAATCCGTTACAGTCATTTTACAACGTTCGCTCCGAGGCTCCGACGGCAAGCTCCAGCCACTCCGAGAGCAACCTGTAATTAAATTATGCTTATTTATGATTTAAAAATACAATAAGAAATTCACAAACCTTCATCATTACAAATGTTTCATCAGGCGCTTCTCTCAAAAACTTAGCGATTTGTTCTCTTATGAAAACGCTCCTTTCCGAAACGCTGCTTAGACTTTTGGGGTAGCAATTCATGCGAAACCGCATTAGCCATTTCCGCAACGTCCGGCGGGGTGCACATACCTTCTTCATCTTCAGTTTCGTCAAAATCCATCTTAACACTTCTTCACTACGCCACAAATTGTTTGACTTAAATTTACGATTTTTCAAACAATTATGTTTTGTCATGGCAACCGGATTACTTGATCATTTACAATTGAAACATCCAACTACGATCAGACTACATGATTTTCTGCCGTTATCTGACTAGTTTAAATTTATAATTTCTAGAGAAGAACTTTTCACTTTCGTAGAAAAAATAGTATGAAACACGCATGTCGAAACGGTCATTGAAAAACTCGTATAATAACATTTATACTCGTTTTTCAATAATACCGTTTCTGCACTTGTATTTCAATGTACTATTCGCACTCCCCGTAAACTTCTATCAAATTCGTTGTAACCCGCCCTCAAAATGTTCTCAGATTTCGATCAAGTTCCTCTTAAGCTTCCTTCCAGGCCACCTTCAGCTTCCCCCAAATTGGCACAACAAAAACGAAACAGACTTTGAATAACTCGCAAGGAAATAGTTCTGAAAAAAAACGTATAGGAAATTAAGAACCCTTTTCAAGGATGTACTCGACCCATCGTTCAATTTAATTTTTGAAGGGGTGGCAACCCTGCTTAGGGCGGTGCATCCCATCCCGGCGATGTACATCCCGGCGACGTACACCCCGGCACCGTTTTCCTGGAGACAACCCATCCCGGCGACAACCCATCCCGGCGACCATTAACATCCCGGCATCGGTCATTCCGGCGATTTATACCCTCCGACGATCTATCTCGGCGACTATTCCTTTCTCGGCATCGGTTATCCCGGTAATTCACACTTTCCTACGACGTCTGTCCAACCAAGGTCCAACCCCATTTCTCTGTTTTATTTTGCCATAAATAACGGTATAGGTACTTTAGAAGCGGTTGTCAAATTAGGTACCGAAAGAGGTTATTATTGTGCATTGACGCATTGTAATTAATTCTTAGAAATATAGGAAACCGAAATATGTAAGGAAGCTCAAATTAGCCGTCTTGTTGTTTACACAATTTCCGTCTGTGCAAAAGACCCATTAGAAAATTCCGTTTTACCCATTTACCTACGAAGAATAATACCAGAAAACTTTACCTACCTATAAATGGCATAATTTCAATTACTCATTAATTAATATAGTATTATAGTCCCTATTCAGATTGTATTATATATTGAAAGAAAAAATCTCAGTCTATAAAATAACAAAGAAAACTTAATTCCGGTGAATTGTTTCAATATAATAATCACGAATTTGCTTCATATGTTTATCGCGTCTTAAATAATGTTTCCCATCCCCCCGATCGCGAATTACCGGGACGTTCGAAGCCGAAGAAAAATCTGAAATAAAGAGGGGCAAGCCCGTTACATTTACTCCCACACGCAGGTGGTCGAAATAAATAAACAAAAAATTCTTTAATCTATGACGGTGTCATTATGACAGATTTACCATGGCATGGCCAATTGGATGTCATTACGGCTTTCGTAAAAGCACTAGTGCTCTTATGAATTCATAAAAGCACGCAATTGATAACTGCTACTATTTTCTACAAATTTGACAAACGTGATTAGTATTACCACAGATCTACACATACACAGATTGCTAACCTTATGCATTTTTTGGGAAACAAATTTAGGTATACTTAAAAGCGCCCTCTATTGCGGAGCAGTAGAAACATGTACCGTTTAAAACTGTAATATGACGCTTATGGATTTATGCATTAGATGTCGCTGCAAAAAATTTAAAGCGGTAAAATGTGCATATAATCCAGTTTAATTGTATTTTTACCAGGAAAGTTGTGGGGTAGTTTTGATTTCTTTTATTCTATATGTTTTTTGGGGTGCCGAATCCGAATCCGAGGTTTGCTAACAAAATTTCATGACGCAACATTGAAAAAAATACAAAAAAGTTGAAAAGGATATTTTTTTAGCAGTTTTGTGCTTACAACTGGAAAACTATCAACTTTTCGAAAATAACCTCCCTATCTTATATCTTATCGACGTGGTAAAGAGTGTAACGTTAATGATGGCAGAGATATACATAGTTTGTAAGTATGCCTTTCCGGTTAGCAATCTGTCAAGACCTTTAAAGCCGCAAATAGTTTCCGCCAACTTCAAAAAACCTTCACGATTCTTTAAGAACCTGCCCTATGTTCGTGTGTATCTGTGACCACAGGGACCCGCTTTTAATAACTCCCTTACGACGAATGAGTAGCTCCAGTGTTAAATTAAACAATTATGGCTCAACGTACCTCCTATCATATCATACCACTGTAATAATACGAATATTAAGGAATTCGAATTGTGCAAACTTTAATGTTGTTTCAGCGACATCTAACGCATAAATCCATAAGCGTCATAGTACAGTTTTAAACGATACATGTTTATACTGCTCCGCAATAGAGGGCGCTTTTAAGTATACCTAAATTTGTTTCCCAAAAAATGCATAAGGTTAGCAATCTGTGTATGTGTAGATCTGTGGTATTACCATGACATCTACTAGTATGGACACTTGATAATTTTGAATTATAATTTACGAAAACGTTTAGATAACATAAAAATGCGAATGAAACGAATGAAATCTATTTGAGCCGTTGTAGATTAAATTTTGAATGATACACGTTTTATATGAACGTTATTAATTAATGAAACTTGTGTAACTAAAATCACTCGGCTACGCCTCGTGAATTTAACGTTACACGCGTTTCATTATGACGTTAATTCACGAACTTGTATCATTAATAACTATAAATGTACCAGTTTTTTCTTAAAAACCGATTTAATCTGGTGAAAACAACAGTCGTGTGAGATTCAGGTGCATGTTGCACCAATACAAATACACTCGTTGACAGCAACAAGAAATTTAATTTCTTTTTTATTATTACACTGCGCTCCACCACTCGAAATGATATGTTGAATTAAAGGACAAAATGTCTTTGTTATGGCTGTTCAGGCGGGAAACATGTTTAACTTTTGTTAAATAAAGTAACGTTCTATAACGGTTTCATTTAGCACTAAAACTGCCTTTTTTATTATTTAAATAGAACACGACTTCCACTATTATCGTAATCCTATACCAGTCAATTTCAAACGTAACGCTAATATAGAGCGCTTGAAGTGTCTCCTCTTCCATAATAAAATTACGCGCAAAAGAAATCATGCACCTGTACGCTTTCTTATCAGTGTTAAACACGTGCGTTTTGAAACTCAATTAACTTTCACGATAACAACGTCCGTATCGCAACCGCGCAGATAGCACTTAAATGCACTCGGCCAAATATTGCTTAATTTTGAACAACGCAATTTTCACATCTTACAAATTTAGAGGAATAAATGAATTTAATCCGGGAATTAAACAATTAAAAACAATTTTGAAAATAGACACTAGAACAACAAATTCCGATGAAATAAACCAATTCTGTGCCTCTTTGTAAAAAAATCCTTCAGATTCAAATTAAATTAAAACATTCGCACATACAGGATGGCCCGTTATTATCTTCGGTATTATTTCAGCCTAAATAACGCCCACCTGACGTTGTTTACTCAACAATACATATATCCTTTGACTTTGAATAAATATGTATTTATCATGTTTACATTTACGTTTTGGCACAGATGTCAGTTAACAAAACTCCAAGCAATTGTGCATTTAGAAACTTCAGCAATCTTTAAGGAGGTTTAAGGTCTTTTAAGAGTATTTATGGGTGGGTAATAATTTATCAGTGTTTAAGGGTTTAAGAGTCGTCTGAACTTTCAAAAGTTATCTAGCCTTCAAAGTGTTCCAGACCTGTTAAAAATATTTAGGAACCACCAAAAACACATTTTGGGTTATTGACATTTAGGGGTTGTTTCAGAGTTTTTAATGTATCTTTCAAAAAAAGTACAGTTTGCATGAGTTCCGTCCGTCCGTCTGAGGGTATAAAATCTCAGCATGCGAACCTCGTAAAAAGCTGAATTTTTGAATTAAAAGGTTTCAACACTTCGATGGACGAAAAAAAAAAAATTAAAAATAGTTTCCGTTTTTGCACAAGCGCATCCTATCTGTTCGTCAAAACCAATGGAAGTAATGGGTCAGGCGCTGCACCTGCCAATCGCTAGTTTAAGTTGTTCTACAGTCTCTTAGTGCCGCCAGGAGTCTATAAAAGTTTTCTAAAATGTTTAGTCTTTGCAAGTTTTAAACAAACCATTTGTGTCTCTAAGTCTTCAACGGTTTTTATGGGTTTTCAAAAAAAACAAAAGGTTATTCTAGAGATTTTGGAAACGTTTAATAGGATTTAAAAGTTCTGATTAACAATCCTTAATGCACATTAAACGTATTTAAGAGGCTTGTCTGGATAAAGTTTCTGGAGCCTTTATGAGCCTTTAAAAGCCAAAACTTTTATACTCCTTTACGAGCCTTTAAGAATCTTAAACAGTCTCTATGAGTCTCTCAAAAGCTTATAGGGTTCTTGAGATCCTTTTATGTCCTTTAAGAATGGAGCCCTTAGAGATGCTTTGGGTCGTTAAGGGTTTAAGGGTATTCCGAATGATTTATGGTCTCTGAGACGCTCTTAATGTTTTTGGTTAAGAGCCTTAAATAGTTGAACCTGTAAATAGAGTTTCCAATAGCCTTCTACAATATGCTTTTAGACATTCGAAATTTTTACTAGTCTTTAAAAGCTGAGCCATTAACAGGTGTATGGGCTTTCATATTTAAAGGGTCTTAAGAGTGCTATTATGCTGGTATTGTGTGAACAGAACGAGTCCAATACTGAAAGCTGGTTAAAGGTCTCACACCCTCAGACGGAGAGAATTTACCCAGGTATAGAAAAATGCAGTAGAGCTAAGGAATCATAGAAATTTTTTACTCATGTGGTGCTATTCAAAACTCTAAATTGCATAATTACCTTTTCAAAAAGAGCTCTATGAGTCGTAAAAAACCTTTGATTAAAGATTATCTACAAACGAAAACATCAATACAAACACAATGATAACGTTTGAACTGTGCTTAAGAATTGGCTTTTTACCTTTAGGTATGTATTGGAAGCGGCGTTATCAAACCCCTCCATACGTATACTTCAAAGTGTAATCTTCAATAGCGAAGTCAAATGCAAACCGTTGCAATGTTTGTGGTGAAACGTTTATAAACCAAACTTAGTGCTTTGATAATTATTTCTAATGGACTATGTGACTTTTGCAGAAGTTTCACGGCAAGCAAATGGAGATACAAGATGTCAGAAGCAATCGATTTCGGAATCAACTTCTGCCAGACAAAGATGCACCTCAGACACAAACGAACAAGATCACAGGTATTTACATGTTTTTTTTTTCCATCGAGTTTACCGCCTTCTGTTTTAGTTCGTGGTGGTACACATTTTGCTTCAAATGTCGAAAGAAAGAGGCACACCCCTCGTGGGAACCGCCGATGTGGCCACGCATTTGTCCATATCCGTTTTGTCCGACGTACAGGCAGTTTTCTAGGATAATAGGAATAGCTTTCATAGGAGTATTTTTGTGGGGCGTTACGTACGCGATGTTAGGCGAAACTGCGGCGCCAGGGGGCCAACTGTTTCAATTAATTTTGCTCACTCTCTGCGCACACTTTGGTGGTTGGTTGATAAGCCTAACGACGCTTCCGGCGCTCATAGGAATGCTCTTTACTGGACTGCTGCTCCAAAACGTGGGCTTGATCAACTTTGATGAGTCATTTAAAGAGGTCACAAGAGACCTAAGGTTTGTACCTACGCTGCCAAATGTACAGTGCGGTTGCATCACCTAATTTACTTTTAGGAAAATTGCTTTGGTTATCATTTTAACACGCGCTGGACTGGATATGGACCCCCATGCCTTAAAGAAGCTAAAAATTACGGTGCCGAAACTGGGGCTAGTACCGTGGACTGTAGAGGCGGCAGTCGTAACCATTATGTCGCATTACCTTTTAAATTTACCGTGGGATTGGTGTCTACTATTAGGAACTATAATCGCGGCTGTGTCGCCCGCTGTCGTCGTACCTTGCCTATTTAGACTTCGAACTAAAGGATACGGAGTGGCGAAGGGCATTCCGACGTTGATCATCGCCGTTGCAGGAATAGATGATGCGGCATCCGTCGCTGGATACGGAATTATTCAAAGCATTATGTTTTCGCACGATTCGCTAACATCGCAGATCCTTCAAGGTCCCTTGTGCCTTCTGGGAGGTATTGGGTTTGGGATATTATGGGGTACAATTTCAAATTTTGTCCCCGAAAGACACGATCCCTTCGTGGTCCCACTAAGGATAGTAATGCTCCTGTCTGGCGGTTTGGTCGCTGTGTTCGGAAGTGAACTGATCGGTTACGAGGGCGCAGGGCCGCTGGCCGTTGTCGCATCGGCCTTTGTCTGCCTTTGTTTTTGGACGAAGCACGGGTGGGAAGTTGAAGACAATCCCGCATCCACAGCCTTTGAAATATTCTGGATGATTTTTGAACCTATTCTCTTTGGAATCACAGGGGCACAAATTAAATTTGCGGAGCTAGATGTTGGTGTAGTCACAATTGGTATAGGAATATTGATTGCTGGTGTCTTAATACGAATATGTGCCACCGTCATCGTGGGAATAGGTAGCAAATTGAATTTGAAAGAAAAGATATTTGTTGCACTTTCGTGGATGTCAAAAGCGACTGTTCAGGTACTTGTACTAATTTTAATGGGTCGTATTTACTTTTCTTTTCTTTTAGGCGGCGCTTGGACCTATCGCTCTTTCAATCGTAGGTGACAAACAACCCGAGAAAGATTACGCCGAAAAGGTCTTAATGATTTGCGTTCTTTCAATTATATTAACCGCTCCCACTGGTGCAATTTTAATCACACTATCGGGATCACGACTACTTACAAAACTTAAAGTCCATCCTCACATTCCAGAGGGTTGGAAAAGAAGCCACAGGCCCTCCATATACGATATCAGTATAATAGATGAAGAAGACGAGTACAAACGAGATGGCGAGACGGTGGAGAATGGAGGTGGTGATAAAACAAATATAAGACGTGAACCTTAATTGATCAAGGTGTTTAATGTTATTGCTTTTTTTTAGAATTAAGAGTAGCTGTAAATAAAATGTTTTGTTGAAGACATGAAAAGCTCATGAAGGACTACATGCATTTCCAATGGTTTTGATTTTTGCTTTCTAGGACGCTACCCTAATCTAACGATAAAAAAGTAAAGTGCCTTTCCCAAACTAAACGATGCAATAAAGAATAATTAGTTTTTGGAAACTTTCATGGTTTAATCGTTTTGTTCTACTATAGTTGAGTTGTACACTTTTGGGCTTCAACCACTCTCATCGGGGATATAAGTTTTTATGCTTGGATAAGAAAAATTCCTACTACGTCAACTACAACCAGGGCTACAACAGAGTAGGTATGCTAATGGAATAAATAAAAAAAATTTCCGTTTATTCAAATTCATTACGTCCATTAAAACCTCAAGATTTCTAATTCCTAAGATTCATCCGATTCTTCGAATTTTGTCGGTTGAATTTTCCAGATTTTTTCATCTTTGTTAGATTAACATAATTTTGTACATTTTTACGTTTCTTTGAAGCCACAGCTCTGTCCAATTCTACAATCTACAGAAACGTTCAGATTCTAAATTCATCGAATTTGGTTGAGTTTTAAATTTTTATGGTTCTATGAATATTTTTCCGAATCCGAATTAATTCGACTCTTCAGGCACATCAAGATTTTCAGACTTAGTTCTGAGAAATGTTTCGGTTATATTATTCAAATATTTTAGTTTCTTACGATTTTTCGGATTCTTCCAATTCCTCTGGTTTTTTAAATTCCGTGATATATTTGGATTCATTTTGTGGTGCGGATTACTCGGGATTTTTCCATTTCTTGAATTCTTCAAGTTCTTTCAATTAAGTTCGGATGCTTCGATTTCTTTGATTTTTTAGGCTCATCAGAATCTCCCAATTCTTAAGACTCATCAGACTTTTTAGAATTTTTGATCCTTCAAATTCTTCTTATTGTAGGTACAAATTCTTGAAATTTTTCAGTTCAAAGGGAGAGTTCTTCCGATTCTTCAACTTGTTCAGACTCTTCGATTACCTCTAAATGTACGGAGCATTCAACTTAACCGGATTTTTCTGATCTTTTAGATTGTTTTCTTTGATTAAAGGCTGATGATCTATATCTAGGAAAAACTCTCGTTCCCTCGTAGGACTAGAATTTAAATAATTGTCCCGTGATCCCTTTCATTTTATTATAATTTGTTATTTATCTTTAACTTATTAGTGAAATTCCGAGCACCTAGGTAATTACAATACTGAGTTGCAATATTTGCTAAATTCATGTCATTGTACAGTACAGAATACAGATACATTAGGGTAATACCAGGGTAGTGGGGGCATTGTCATTTATAATTATAACTAATTACAGCCACCAATTGTAGTTTTAATTTTAATTAATTTTGCTTGCCATTTTCAAAATTAATTACAGATACACAAGATTACATTGTATATTTTCCTAAGTTTGCTTGACATCTTGTAGTTATGCTTTACATTTTGGATATTTGTCTGGTTCTTTTTGTTTAGTACATAGTACCACCCTCAATAAAAATTCCTCATAGGCACACTAGCTTTCATTTTGCAGACTTGGGTATGGAGGCTATCCAAAGTAAGGCTTGTATCACGCGTGCACAGAACTAATCTGCCTATAATTAACTTTGTAGCTTTTTCCGGGTTGCTGCAGATTGAACATATAGACATTAAATTGTTTTATATTTGAATTTCTTTCAGCATTTTATTTCCTTTACAGGTCTCTAATGATCTTAGGACCCCCCAAGTCTCAACTGCAGTCTTGCCCTATACTCTTACAGTTGGCAACCACCGGCAGATGCATCTGACTTTGAAATAGAAAAGGTACGTTTCACGGACTATGGATAGTACGAATAGGATCCTAGTCGTGTATACTGGCGGTCTTATGTGTTGGGACATGATACACAATCGGAAAAGGAATTGAATAGAACTTATAGTTTTGTATGTAAGAAAGGACAAGAATAAATAAAATTATGCACACAAAAAGAAGATGCCGGGACACAACCTTCTTTGGACTATAAAACCAGGCTTAACCCACACAAATACAAGAAATAAATCAACTACGACAGCACAACAAAACAGAAATACACAAATCCAGCATTTCAAATTGACAATTTTGGCTTTATGTATCCACGCCGTTAACGTTAGACTCCAAAAATCCCTGAGAGGTATAGAAACATGAAGAAGCGATACGACTTGATGTCGTGAAGATGTTATATCTACTGAATCCACTGTTGATGCCGCGCTATCCAAAGGAAGAGATGCACATCATTTAAAATAATAACGTGGTTTCGAAAATCGTCATAAGAGTGGTGAAATATACGAGAAAAGGTTCGAGCTTTAATCCCCCAACCGGTCAGCAGGCATAAGCTTCCGACTCTAGACCAAGGGACTACTGTGAAAAATATTATACTTTGGTCTTCCCTTAGCTATGATTCAGCTCACTGCATTGTACCTTTGAGAAAAACGTTTCGGCGTCCTTTCCGGATAATTCAAAATGGGTGCGCGTGGAATCAGAATCTGAGTAGGCTTACCTGCTGTAAGGATGAGGGAGAAAGGAAGGCTGATCTACTATGCGATCAAAAATGATTTACTGTCCAGTCGCCTTTGGAACATTTGTTTACATGGAAAATCGTAGGTACCTACTTAACTTGAACTTCCAAAGGCAACTCGTTTTTGATCGTTCATTACAATATTGTACAGTCGTGGTCAGAACTAATGTCCTTCCTCAGGTACTCCAACTGCAGAAAATGTACTGTCAGTCAGTTCCTCGAGAAATTTGCTTGGGTTTCACGCGCGAACGAACGTGTTTTGTACGAGCTCCAGCTGTTTATTGTGCTGGGCGGTGGTTTTCAATTTCATATTGTGCGTGGTATCGCTTTATCGGGAAAAATTTGCCTTTTCGTGTGGTCGTTATCTTACCTAAATCGGCCCATTAGGGCAGGAGTTAGGGTGAAAACTGTGATTTTTGTTTTTTTGTTTTGTCTGTCTTTTAATAATAACTGATAAGTTAACGTTTGGCGTGCGATAACTACTGATAGGTGCGTAAAGTTGCGGGCGGGCGTTGAACGCGGTCCGGACCGACGGCGTTTAATAGGGGGTTGCTAAACGGTCACATAGACACCCCACTCGAAGGGGTGTAATCAACCCTAACCGCCCCCCCCCCGAAAGGGGGTGCACCCAAGCAACCCCAACATGGACAAAACAAACAATCTAGAGGGAGCGTCCCAGGACACCCCTCAAAATTTGCTGTTGCAGGTCACCGAGCAACAAACCAAATCTCGTAAGCGCATCTCCGGCGCTGAACAAAAGAGGAGGAAGAAGGCCAGGCTGGCTCAATTAGGTCAACCTGCGCCAACACCATCCTCAAAACCATCTACCTCCCGTGGCTCAACTCGGACCCAGAGGCAGGCTCCTAGAGCTAACTCCGGCCAGGCGGGCAAACGGGTAGGTGAGGAGAAAAAGAGACAGAGGTCGGATGACTCAACACCAACCCAACCGCCGACAAAGAAGGGCAGATCACAGCCCCAATCAAAGGCTGAAGCACCCCGCATTTGTAGCTACAAGCAAGCTGCCGAGAGACAACTTAAAGTAGCAATTATTGATACCAATAACCACCTGGGTAGGCTAACGGCGGATATGGTCCAAAATCACCTGGCCAAGGCCCTTGACCAGCATTTGTTCACCCTAGAAGGCCCTACACTAGCACCCACGTTCAGGGGGTGGAGGTACTCGGGGGAAATTTTAAGAATTTCATGCGAGAACAACCATTCCCTGGAGTGGTTGAAGGAGGTGGTTGGCAACCTCCCACAATTGTGGGAGGCTGCACACCTAAAGGTAGTGCAGGAAGACTGCCTTCCTAGGCTCCGCAAGGCTGCCATCTGGGTACCAGGGGAACCTGACGACCTGGCGACGGTTAAGCGGCGCTTGGAAGTGCAGAATTCCTGGGCAAAGGTAGGCAGCTGGTGTCTCTTCCACACAGCCGTGAAAGATCAACCTCAAGGGAGGCTGGTAGTTTTCGGCATTGAGGAAGAGGACCAGACTAACCTAATCGCCAAGGGGGGGAAGACTCAGTTATGGGTTTTCCTCTCTGAAAGTGAGGGTTAGTAACCCTGCCGAACCAGTGGTGGGGAGTACGTTAGTACAACCACCAAAACATCACCAACAGGCGCCTCATGAGCAACTGCAAAAACCTACGGAAAAATCACCGCCCAGGCTGCCAAGGCAACCTGTGGTCGATGCGTGCTCCAGTGTCAGCAACTCGCCCGGGCCGATTTCGAACTGGGAGGAGTTCGCGAATATTGAGGCGCTGCTGGAGTCCGATTCCAGTAACGCCGGATAAGTAATAAACACATTGATTACATAGGTACATAAGTATGAAAGAGAATTTTATACAAATAAACCTGCAACACTGTAGAGCGGCCTAGGCAGACGCCTCACTGTAAAGCAGGACATTGCCCTCATTCAAGAACCCTGGGTTGTTAAATCAAGGGTTTCTGGCCTTGGGAGTACAAAAGGAACCGTTTTCTTTGACACACGGCAAGAAAAACCTAGAACATGTATTTATGTCCCTAGCCACTTTAAAGCTCTTCTGCTGCCACACCTGTGTGGACGTGATATCACGACCATACAGTTAAGCTGTGACATATGCAAGGAAAACCTCAAGTAGTAATAGCGTCAGTTTATCTCCCGGGAGATTCTGTCAACCTACCTCCCAGTAACGAGATGGTAGAACTGATAGAACACTGTGAGAAAAACACCTCATTATAGGGCGCGACTCAAACGCTCACCATACTATATGGGGGAGCGCTAACGTCAACCCTAGGGGTAAATCATTACTCGAATATTTGACAAGCACTAATCTAGAGATTCTCAATCAGGGCAGTGAACCTACGTTCGTAACTTCCCGAAGCCAGACTGTAATCGATCTCAGTCTGGCATCATCGAGTATCTCGGATCATATAAAGAACTGGCAAGTCACTTCTGAAACGACTATGTCAGATCATAGACTAATTTCATTTGAAATTGACTGTAAAGGAACCGTTCAAAAGGGCTATCGCAACCCCAAAG